GCTGTGGGTTAATGTACTGGACTGAAAAGTTGGTTTGAACTGCAAAGTCAGCGGTTCAAGCTCACCAACTGCTCTTCGGAAACCCTATACAACTTGACAGCACTTAACAACAACAATGGTGGCACTGCAGGTTAATGCACTAGAGACTGCAAGATACATCTGAATCACAAGGTCAGCACTACTCAGAAACCCTATACAGGGTTGCTATGAGTCAGAACCAACTCGACAGCACTTAACAACAAGAATGCCTTAGTGGAGGGTATGACTTGAGTCAGCATCTTTAATTTCCCTTGGAGGAATGGTCTGACTCAAATTTATGCTTTGGAAAAGCTTCTTATTACATCTGACCTCCAGTTCCTGGGGCTTTTGCTCCATCACCTGACCTGATTCACCACCTCCCATATCCTTGTGAATCAACAGCCTGTTGTCTGACCTGCCAATTTGGGTTCTTCAGCTCCTGAGCCTAACTCGGTAAGAAGATTCCTTCATACTGGTCTCTGAACTGCAAATTTGGGACATGCCAGCCCCCACAATTGAGTGAGCCATTTCTTATAATAACTGTTGAGTTTTGTGAGACACTGCAGCGTGTTGCAGAACCCTTGGACTTGAGGAAAGTGAGGAGTGGTGATTGATAGAAAGGACCATGAAGGGGTATAACGTATCAGAAAAGCTGAACAGCTGGACTATCTTTAACCTCCAACGCATAGGGGCCAGTCTTGTGTTGATTTTTAAAAAAGAAATGATTCACGCAAAAAAGAATAAAACATTTCTACGAACTTTTGAAGCTCCCTCATATGTGAGTAATAGTTGGAATACAGTTCTGTTAAATTTTCTAAGTTTGGGCAAGTAAAGATATGCTTACTATAAAAACATGCCTAAATACTTCAGATGATTCTATAAAACAATAGGAGTATGACTGACTCATTTTTCGTTATAAATTTATGACTTACCATTTAAGACCTTCTTTTCCTCCTGATAGTCTGTACAATGATTTAGAAAAGAAAATCAAGTAAGAATACTATGTCAACAGTATATTATTGATTTATACGTAACAGCTCTTCTTTCTTAAAGACTTTTTTTCTAAAGCCAGAAGAGGAACATAAGGCTAATACATAGATTTACATTTATTATTTACAAATACGTTAATTTTCATCTCTGAGTATCAGGCCATTTCCCCAGGTGTTTGCCTATCATTTCACCGGGCTTTTTTCTATTCTCTGGTCATTATTTCCTCACTAATATTTTGGTTTATTTCTTTAGAAAGAAAATTAAAACAAAACAAAACAGTTTTGTCCAGGTATCCTACTTTATATTCATCTTAGAATTCATTATATTTCACCTTAAAAAATGAAACATGTACACATATATACAAACCAAAAATGGTATTTATCTCTTTTAGTGAAGTAATTAAAATAATAATTGCTAATCCAAGGTTAAGTGGTCAAAATGCTGAAATGTATTAAGACTTTCACACTTTAGTGTTACAACCAAGAAAAAATATAATGGCTATTTTTTTCCAAGATGGCAGCTGACTCACCAATCTATGGTGTATTTTGAAACTTACATTATGGCAAAAATAAATACCTCAACAAGTTACGAGAGTTTTACAGAAATATAGAAAGAATGCCAAGTTAACCAAATGGCTAAGTTGTTGCTGTTAAGTTGCTAAGTTCTGACTCATAGAGACCATGTTTAGGGTTTCCAAGGAGCAGCTGGTAGTCAGCAGTCTAGTGCTGATCCTACAGTGCTATACCAGGACTCCAAATGGCCAAGCAGTCAAACTGAAAGACATCACTGGTTCTGTTGACATCACATTGTTTTACAGAAAAGCTAATGTACTTAAATCAAAGTTTTCAAATAAATTTTTGTATTCTAGTTTTTAATCAACCAGAAATTCCATAGTTATGTCCACCTCAAACATCATCACAAAATAATGATTAAGGAACAAACAACCCAATTTAAAAATGGGCACTGAACATGATCAGACACTTCACCAAGGAAGACATTCAGGCAGCCAACAAATCTATGAAGAAATGCTCACATTCTTTAGACACTGTTATTGTTGTTAAGTGCCGTTGAGCCAGTTCTGACCCACAGCAACCCTGTATAGGGTTTCCGAGGAGCAACTTGAACCGCTGACTTTGCAGTTCAAACAGTTTTGCAGTCTGGTGCATTAGCCCAAAAGAGATGCAAATCAAAACAAGGAGGTATCATCTCACATCGATATTAACAGTGAAGTTCAAAAAAACAAAAGCAACAAATGCTGGCGAGGGTGTAGAGTCTGGAACCCTCCTACGTTGCTGGTGGGACTGTAAAATGGTTCACTCACTCAAGAATGGTATGGCAATTCCCCAGAAAGTTGGAAAAAGAAACACCTTATGACCCTGTAATCCCTCTACTTGGTTTATATCCATAAGAAACGAGCCAGAACATGAGTAGATATATGCACACCGATATTCATCGCAGCACTATTCACAATAGCAAAAAGATGGAGACAGTCTAAGTGCCCAATAATGGAAGAATGGATAAACAAACTTTGGTACATATAAGCAATGGAATACTATGCAACGCTTAAGAATAACGAGTCTGCGAAACAGTTCATAACTTGGATGAACCTGGAGGACATTATGCACCTGAGTGGAACTGTTGTTGTTGTTATTAAGTGCTACGGAGTCAGTACTGACTCATAGCGACCCTATAAACAACAGAACAAAACACTGCCCGGTCCTGGGCCAACCTCACAATTGTTGCCACACTTGAGCCAACTGATGCTGCCATATTGCCAATCCATCTCGCTGGGGGTCTTCCTCCCTTTCATTGACCCTTCACTCTACCAAACATGATATTCTTCTCCAGCGACTGCTCTCTCTTGATAATATGTCTGAAGTATGAGACAAAGTTTGGCCATCCTGGCCTCCAAGGAGCACTCTGGCTGCACTTCTCCCAAAATGGATCTCTTGGCTCTTTTGGCAGCCCAATATGGCACATTCAATATTCTCCTCCAACACCATAACTCAATAGCATCAATTCTTCTACAGTCTTCCTTATTCACTGTCCAGCTTT